ATAGGCTACCTTACCTTTTCCATAGGGTAAGGCCTTAAAAAAATTTAAGTTACAATCAAACAGCTCAATGTCTCATGCCACCTGTCCCTACAGGATAAGCACTGCTAACTACAAGCACCTGATGTTACAGGGTTACCCAGCATGTTCTGTTTTGCAGTTCAATCTTTGATGATATTTTAAACCAAGAGAAATGAAATTAGCTGAAGGATGCTTGAACCAATAGCTATCCCCAAAACCACCCAATACTACCTCCATGTCCTGTGAGTAAAGATGAGAGTGTACATTAGGAAAGAACAAACTTCAAAATCTTGGGCAATTTAAATATTAGAAAAAACAGTTTGAGGAAATTTAAAATACCATTTGTCTAAATTATGAGCATCCATGGCATTTGCTAGAAAGGCAAAATACCATACAACTCACATAAAACATAGAAAAACCCCCAAGTCATTCAGAATCAACTCCTCATGAGCAGGTAACTACTCTAAAACTATGTTATGTGTATACTTTCATTTGAGCAGAAAGCAAAGAAATGATACTATGAGAACCTCCAGTTCAGTTGGTCCCCTAGAAAGAGAAGTCTTTGCTAAACTAATCCAGTTTCCAAACTGACTACTTTTGCAATTCAAAATTATCCTTATTTCAGATCATTTTTTCATAATCAGTACAATCATGGACTAAATACTTAACACACAAGTAACAACTTAGAAATATAGATTTCTTTTGCTGGCTAAATGTCACAATAACACAAAAAACAACACAAAAGTTGTATAGCAGGTAACTGTTTATATCAGAGCTGTACAAGACAAAAGTCTTTATATCTTGTTACAACTAACTTGGGAGTCTGGGACAGACAATTGTTTTAATTGCCACAACTTGAGGAAGCATGAGCATAAGGTCCAGAAACCAGGATCACTGTACAATCCACACCAGCTTCAAACAATCTTTCAATATATCATTTTTGCTTTTATACATGGCATTTGAGATGGTTAAGTCTTTGAAAAATAGGAAGACAGATTTTACTTGAAACCAACTGTCAATTCCCCTCTAGGAATAACACTCAGTAGTAGCTGCAGTCCCTTATAGCTTGTCACAAGTAGTGGTTTAACCTGTTTTTTTTTCTTCTGCTTACAGAAGACTGGCCTTCAGTTTCAACATTTCTGCATTTTTGGTCTAAGTCATGACCTCCTGAGCCCCTTTAGAGTTCTCCAGTGATGAATAGCTTCTCTTCCCATATGTTATTGCTATATGTAACCAGGTAGTTCAATTTACTTTGTAGTTCAAGCATCACTTCTTTCACACAAGGGTTCTTAGTGCCACAATACAATGATAAGTTTCAGCAAACTTCATCAACTGGCTTAGTTTCTTTTTTGTGCTTAAATTCTTCTGGGGCTTCAACTCCAAGAGGACTTGGCACACTCATAATCTTTATGCCAACTTCTAAGTGCGTAGAATTCAGAATAAAAAACATTAAGTAAAATCAGAATAAGAAACATAGTTTGTGAAATTAGGACTCTAAATAGCAACACAGTGAAAGGACTGTAAATTGCCAAAAGGAAATGCTCTCTTGGACTTGAGTATCCAAAGCAAGAAACAAGATGAGCTTATGAGCTGCATAGTGTTCCTTCAATCCCTTCTGTTTACCTATCTATAATATTTGAGAAGGGAGAATTATGTATCTTTCTTCTTTGAAAATGAAGACTGGGATGTTAATTTTATACCTAATAAACAGAACTTGTTTAGAAGGTTTTCGGTTCATGCACTCAGTATGACAATGCAATCCCACAACTCCTGTCTTCCCCAACCAACCTATGCTAAGGCAGAGGCCAAGAAGTCAGTAGGTAGCCTAAGTAAACTCATGACCACCACTCCAAATAATGAGAAGAGTTGCTATTGCTGAATGATTTAAGACTTTCTAAGACTTTCCAGGCACAACCGAAACATTCTTGTAAAGCTAAAGAAAAACTTAAGGCAGAAAAAGTGGGTAAGTGGAGGCATAATTATTAAAAAATAACTGCAAAATTTTCATGAGATGATCAAAGCAAGGAATCTGTGGATGCTCTGAATTTATTAACATCAAATTCAGAGGAACTGTGCTTGTGAAAACCTGACATATGCTACTTTCAGCTTCCCCAGACTTCAGCTCAGGAGATGGGTGAAATCCTTCAGAAGAAACTACATCTTTTTGTTTGATTTAGGTATTTGACTATACACCTGTGTATGGATACCTCTATGCATGTGCACACACAACAAACTGGTCTTTATTGCTGACCAACACAAGTGGTCGCTACCCAGACTGACCACTAACTTAGGCAGTAGTGAATGGCACAGAAACAAATGCCCGCCCTGGGTCAGCGCTGTACCAGTGTAATGAGAGGCACATGCTGTTTAACATGGCCAAGCACAAGATGCTGCACCGGGTGGGGACAGCCCCTGGAATCAATACAGGCTGTGGAATGAGCCGATCGAGACCAGCCCTGAAGGACTATGGGGTGTTGGCGGATGAGAGGCTGGAGATGGCTCAGCAATGTGCACTCACAGCCCAGAAAGCCAAGCATACCCTGGGCTGCAGCCAAAGCAGTGCAGCCCGCAGGGCCAGGGAGGGGATTCTGCCCCTCTGCTCTGCTCTGGTGAGACCCCACCTGCAGTGCTGTGTCCAGCTCTGGGGTCCTCAGCACAGGAAATACACTGGCCTGTTGGAACAAGTCCAGACAAGAGGCACCAAGATGATCAGAGGTATGGAGCACCTCTGCTATAAGGAGAGGCTGAGACAATTGGCATTATTCAGCCTGGAGAAGAGAAGGCTTCAGGGTGATGTAATTGCGGCCTTCCAGTATGTGAAGGGAGAATATAAAAAAAAGGGAGAGAGACTACAAGAGCATGTAGGGACAGAACAAGAGGGAACGGCTTCAAACTGATAGTAGCTTTAGATCAGATATTAGGAAGAAATTCGCTCCTGTAAGGGTGGTCAGGCACTGGAACAAGTTGCCCACAGAAGCTGTGGATGCCCCACTCCTGGAAGTCTTCCAGACCAGGCTGGATGGAGCTCTAAGCAACCTGGCCTAGTGGAGGGTGTCCCTGCCCATGACAGGGGAGCTGGAGCTATACAACCTTTAAGGTTCTTTGCAACCCTGACTATTCCATGATGATGCTAGGGATTTTTCAGATGTGCCCAAGGCCGTTGTGCTTTATGGTCAACCCAATGTTATCACTGAGCAAGTGTTGATCCTGCCAGGCTTTTCAGGGAAAAGAAGAGAGAAGGCATCCACTTTGCAAATGGCAGATATGTCAGATACTAAGGAGGATTCTTAACTCATGTATGGGCAGCAAGACTCTAAGAACTCAACAACTTCACCAGCAAAAGCATTGATAACTACAGATTCAGTATTGAAATAGGTAGATTTTCCGTTCACAGCAGTGTTTGAATGACATTACTTAATTTCAACTGACATTGCATATTCAAGTTCCCAGATGCTTTTCTGACATTGCCTTTGAAACTCTCAAAGCTGCAAAAGCTTTTTTGAAGTAAAATCTTCACAACATAAGGCTTCTATGCTTAGCCTTGAAGCTTCAAGTTTCTACTCAAGTTTTCTACATCTTTCTTTAGTCCACAGACAGTACTTTTTTTTCATCAACTCAGACCAACAAGACTAGGAAGAATCAGATGAAACTAGCAAGTGGAGACATCAAAAGAAATTGAAATATTTTTTAATCTATAGCCTAGTTTATTTGAAGATTATCTGACACTGGATACCAAGGATGCTAAAAGTCCGTATCTGTTCAATAGATAAATGGAATAAAAACTTTTTTTTTTTTGGTAACAAACTACAGAAGCTCAGAGCACAAAGCGAAAATATTTCAGTGTGTTTGCTTATTGTTAACAAAACAAACTTCTGATCTGACCCAACATATTATCACGTTTCCTCCTAGATTCAAAGAAAAATATGAAGAGCACCGTTTTTTGTATTTTCCAAGAAAAATACAGTGAAAAACCACAAATGCTCTAATTCTTCAAGATCCTTTAATTTAAAATCAAATCTGAATTGTGTTCTTGGCCAGTACTGGTTCTAAGTTGGTATTTTAAGCACCTCTGACATAAAACCAGCAATGTTACACTGCTGCTTAGTGGAGACAGATCAACACAAAATGGCTACAGAGCAAAAATGGCCTATCCCAAGCAAATGCTACAATTGTAAAACTTGGGTTAAAAATCAGTATAGATGTTACAGGAAGGGGCAACACTTAAAACTTCAAATCAGCCTGAAATTACAGTAAAAAGTCATTACAACCGTACCTCTCTCCTACAATTGGTTTATTAAGAGGACTCTTGGAACTGCTTAACAAATAATGCAATTACAGCATGAAAATCAAGGAGTTGTGACTGAAAAGGCAGTATTTGAGCCGAGTGCTCTAATGTTTCCTGAAAACAAGCAGATTCAGAAGTCAGGAACAGTATCCTTTCAATATAAATCATTATTTTAGTTATTTACTTCAACTAGGAGTTACATTCAATTTTACAGAATGGTAAAATACACTCACACTACTTGGGAAATTGCATTAATCATTTACCTTACATGCCATGGGGTCAGGGGCTTTCCTGTTTGTAAGAATTAATAGTAATTTCATCACTTCCTGTAAAAGGCAACAGCTCCTAGGTTTCCAAAATGACCTCAGTGGAGCACAAACATTTGTTCAAGATGCTAACTCATCATGCCCTGAACAAGCACCTGATGTGAGTCAGCTCAAAGTGATGAAGTCATGAACATGGAAGACAGAACTTTATTTTACTTTGGATATTCACTGACAACTAGAACCTGACAAAACATACTATCAACAGTCCCCAGGACTCTGCCAAAATACACCACATACCTCACCTTACCAGAGACTGCCAGTCTCTGTGTTAATATGGAAAAACCTCAGAGTAGTTCTTGACCCTACCCTGCACAGCTTCTGCACTGCTTTCTCACTTTGGCATTCAAACCAATCCACCTGCATTTGCAAGAATGACTCTGCAAGGTACTTGAGCAATGTCTTATCCTAAGAGAATCCACCTTTCTCTGTTCCAGGGTTATTTACTTTCATAAATCAAGACACTGAAGAGACGTGCATTAATTGAGGCAAACCAAATAAGGAGGTTACAACAAGAATTCCATTACACTGGAATGTAGCTGGGAATGAAAAAGCATAACCAACAGAAGAATTAACCACAGCATGACTAAGCTTTACTTCTGCAAGTAACTGAATTTCAAATCACCAGTTCCAGCACTACCAAATAGGTAGAATACCAACTAGGAAACTTGAAACCTTGAGATAGGAAAGCAGTTGCTTTACCCAAGAGCTAACTCTGAAATTCAGGGACCACAGTTTACCTAGGCATTTAAAGCAAGGAATATGGAATATACAATCCTTGCTATGGGTATACCAAACTAAAAGCATCTCCTAGGGGAATTTCATGGTCACAGATTCCTTAGCTACAATTGCAGCAGTCCTTAAGTCAATTTTGAAATAAAAGCCACAGGAATGGAAGTTATCATTACAGCCCAGAATTCAGGGCTGCTCTGCACACTCGTTTGTCTTCTGCTGAGCAATGAAAGAGAAGCCTTTCCTAATTCTATCTTATGAGCACCAGATATTCCACATGAAATACAGAGAGAGGGGATCACAGACGCAGCAAGCCCTTTTCCCTAAAAACATTTGTGTGTCCAATTAAATGCTGTCTAGTTTCCACAACAGAGCAAAAACCTGCTCTCGGGGCAGAGCACTACAAATACCTCTCTGTTAGACAAAGACACTTCCACAAGTATACTGTGAACACATGTCTAAAAACCCCTCATGATTTTTTGCATCTACTTAAGGTTTGCTCTCTTACTTCCAACTCTTTTTTGTAATGCCATGGCCACTCTCATTTCTATTTGTTTCCAATTTTTTCCTCATTTTGCTATGCTTAAGTAAACACGTGGCACTATCACCAAATTAATCTAACTTGTACTCTTGATGAAGGGCTTCAACACTGGGATATTTAGTTCCCTTGTTATATATACATCAGGAAAACCTCCTAAGAGTTGACAGAGATCTCAGTGATAATAATACACCCCTTTAAGTCAAAGAGAAAAATGCTGAATTTAAAAAAAAAAAAAGCATTCTCTATGAAATAAACAATAGTTAACAAATTAAATGGGGAAAGTACATGGCAGGGTCAGGCCAGTTATTTTGTTCCTGCTTGTCCTGGGTTATTAAAAAAAAGTCTGTGTAATCACATTAATTTTTTCTACCTACTCAAAGCCAGATTTAATTCTTATTTTTTAAATCTCTCTAGTAAATGAAAGGGATGGCAGAAAGATTGAAAATTTGCCATAAAAATTCATTCAAGAAGTCATGTGGGTCAAGAGATCAGAAACAACTAATGAAAATTGGCACTCTTGTTACAATACACTATCACTGCACCAGAACAGGCTGTACCAGAGTGTATGTACTATTCAGAAAGCTGGACTGGTCCTAGGACTGAAGAGCTCATTACTAAATAATGTACTGAAAAAACACATATTGTATACAGAAAAACATGTACCACCACTTCACAGTTGAGGCTTGAATTATACTCACGAATTTTTCCTATTAGCGCTTTGCTTTTAAAACAATCTTTCTTCAAGAAGTTAAACATCAGTGAGTCACAAGGTAGGTGTCTGCACTGTGCCTCTACTTAACACTGTCCTACCAGTGACCTCCACTGTGACAGCTTGGGATTATTTACTAACAGGGATTTGGTACATTATCCAGCAGAAGAAATAGACTGAATGAAAGACCAATATGGTGGGAATGGGTAATAACTACATGCTTGAGGCAAGATGGCATGGAATTTGTCAGAGATTTGGGTTTCTATCTAATCTTGGATTTCATCTGTGTTAAATGTCATAAACCTTAGTAAGACAGGACTATTCCAGAAACAAATTTTAGCTGTAACTTCTTGCAACTAATGGTTATTAGGTAACTGTTCAAAACAGTTCTATTTGAGCAACAATTGCATCTAAATTAATAAAGAATTCAGATTATAAAATTAAAGCACCCTGGTTTTGGTTCTTTGGATTATAGTGTCAAATTTGAGGCAGGATCTTAGATCAAGATGCATAATAAACATCAACTAATCTTTTCATTAAGACAATTATTAACACAATTAGAGTATTCACAGCCCTGTCATTTTGAAGACTGTAATCTTAATTTTAAAGCATCAGGAATAGTGGAATATTACAGCACACAACACAGATTTTTCTACCAAAGGAAAGAAACAAACGTCCTACGTTCCTCTTACTTCTTAAGGTTAACATGCCATTACAGCCCATTTCCCATCAGGGGCTTTTAGCTCGGTATCACAGGTCAAGTCAATGGTATCTGTATAGCAAAAAGCATCAAAATCAGACGGGGAAGGGGTCAAGATGTGAACACATCTGTCCCTCAGTGTTGGTAAGCACGGGCTTACTCATCAAGCACAGGTCCTCTCTGTTCCCTTCAGCACACCAGTTATACCCAGCACTATTGCTCAGCAAATACAACTTGTGACAAACACTGCGGGAAACCGCAGATTCACGCCGCTACAGCGCGGGGAGCGCTCCAGAGGGCACGGCCGCGCCAGGGATCGGGCTTCCCCTCTCCTCCCCCTCCAGCCTATTTCCCTGCAGTGACCCCTCCGCGCTGGCAGAAGGCTGTGCCACAGCCTCGCTCTCCGCTGCTCTGCCTGGGGGACCCGTGTTGTGTCTACAGCGCAGGCCCCATGTGACAGACACAGAGACAGACAGACAGACAGACAGACAGACGCACAGGTGCGGGGCGGGGCGGGTGACCCGGACACGCGCGCACCTGGCGCGCCCCCGCGGCGCCTCGCGGGCGCGCGCGGGTCTGTCCCCGCGTCCCCCTCCCGCGCGGGCAGCCCAGGCCCCCGCGCGCCGGTTACATAACGCCGCGCGCCGGCCCCCTTCCCTTCCCTTCCCCCCGTTCCCGCGCCGGGAAGAGAACGGGAAGGCCCAGGCCGCGGGCCCAGGGAGGGGCTGGGAGGCAGAGCAGCGGCTGCGGGCCCCGCGTCTGCCTCCCGCTCCCCTCCCTTCCTCCCCGCCTGCCTTCTCCCCGTCCCCGAACCACCCTCCGCACGTCCCTCCCGCCGTGGGGGGGAAGAGCCCGCTCCGCACCGCTCACCTTCTGCCGCGTCCCAGACACACATTCCCGGGAGCGCCGCCGCTGCCTCCTGCCCTGCGGGGCCGTGCGTGCGTGTGTGTGTGTGCGTGGTGTGTGTGTGTGGGGCTTCACATCGCGGCTCCCCCTCCGGCACCGACGGACGCACGCAACCGCCGCCTCCTGCCCGCCTTCTTCCTCCTCCTCCTCCACCCCAGCGCCAGCCGCTCTCTCCGTCTCTCCCCCCCTCCCTCTGCCCGCACCTCGCTCGGTGTCCCCGGCACGGCCCCTCCTCCACCCCCACCCCTTCCCTTCCCTTCCCGCGAGCGCGTCACGGGAGAGTCTCGCGCCACCAACCCGCCGCCGCCGCGCGGTCAACAAACGGCGCGCGCCGGCCCGGGCAGGGCCCCTGGGCCGCGGCGCCCCCTGGCGGCGCGCGCGCACGGACAGGAGCGCCCGGCGGCGGCGGCGCTCGCGCGGCGGCACGTGACGGCGGGGCGGGGCGCGGCGCGAGAGCTCGCGCGCCGCTCCAGCCGCGCGGACGGGCCGCGGCGGGCGCGGGGCGGTGGCGCCCCCTGGCGGCCGGACGGGCGCGCCGCAGGCTCGGGCGGGCGGGGATTCGGGAGCGGGACGGGAGCGGAGCGGGCACCGGGAATTGCCGTGCCCCGCGCTGCCCGGGCGGGGCTTCCGCGGCCGGGCACCGCCCTGCGGGCAGAAAGCGGGTGGGGAAGGCCCGAGCGGGGCTGCGGCGGTGCTTGCCCTTCTGGCCGGGGAGCCGGGTCACCGCCCAGCCCTGTCATGGAAGGAGTGGAGCTGAGCCAGGCTCAGGCCTCGCCACCCCTCGCTGTAGAAGCGCTTTCCTCCACAGAAGAAGGGCCTGCGTGTTCCACTCGCGTGCTGGATGCAGGAATAACACCCACTGGCTCTTCCCATGTGATTCTGCAATTAAAAATGCAGAATCACAGAATCTTTTAGATTGGCAAATACTTCCAAGATTGTCAAGTCCAACCTTTAGCCAGTTACCACCTTGTTGACTAAACCATAGCACGATGTGCAGCATCCAGTTATTTCTTGAACACCGCCAGGGATGGTGACTCCACCACCTCCCTGGGCAGCCCATTCCAATATTTAACAAGTCTTTCCATTAAGAAATTCCCCCTGATGTCCAACCCAGACCTACCCTGGCACAGCTTGTCCTGTTGGTAGTTGCCTGGGAGAAGAGAGTGAACCCCCACCTGGTTACAGCCTCCTTTTAGTACACTGGGGGTACTTTGAAGTGTATTCATGGGGAGGCTGGGAAGAACAGAAGGCCAATTGTGGGGGGAAACACAGAGTATATGGAGATTCTTGTATAGGAAAGCAGGTGTAACAGTGGTATGAGAATGTAGGGGAAATAAGAGAGAAATACTTAAAAACACCAGCCTTATTAATTGTGCTACTTTATGCATTTTACATAAAAATTACTATTGACTTCTTCTGATTCTGGTATATGGAATTTGTTATATAAATAACAAATAGCTGCAGTCCTACAATTGTGTCTATGTAAACAGATCTGCTATGAGTCCCCAGTGATACTAGGCAAAACTCCAATTTGGTTATAACCACAGCAGTTAGATGGACTCAGAACCATATGGATTTAGTTCCAGGGATAAAGCTGATCACTGTAAGACAAGGGCTTATGGGAAACCTTCTTTTCTCCATTTGCGTAGCCACAGTTATCCTGTTCTGTGAAAAAATGTTACAATTTCAATTTTTTTTTCCTCTACTTTTCTTGATAACATCAAAAACTTAATGAATGTCCAGCCTTTCACCCATATCTAGTTACACACTGCTCAAGATATCCATGCAGGATAAGGAAAACTTGAGTTCAGGTCTGTGTCTCTCAGCTGAGCATCAGCTGTTTTAGCCAGAGTGGTTGCTGCATTTCACTTTGAGAATTATTTACAGCTCAACTCTTAGCACCTTCATGAGAAAAACCCAAATATTTGACTTTTACTCAGTATTTTAATGAAACTTGTCTTCACAATGTGGGTGTTTCCTGCCAGAGGGAAGCACTAACTAGAATTTTGACCAGCTTTATGTCAAATTTTGGAGACATTGTGGCTGGCTGCTTTCAGTCTAATTTTTATCAGCAATTATATTACTTGAAAAAAAATCTGAAAAATACTATTAAAAAAATATGTTATCTAGGATATATCCATTTCACTGGGCCAGCATTTTCCAGTTTTGCCAGGCAGTGACCCTACCAATCCCAGTCCTTGCCAGTCTGGAGTAAACTAGCTGTTAAAAGTATTGCATGACTGGATATGTGCATTATTTTTTTTCTTACAGAGCTATTTCTCTAGGGGGCAGTTGTGGAGCAGAAAGGCAGAAAGACAAGTGGAATAGGGATTAATTTAAGTTAGCAAGAACAGCTTTAAAATGGTTAGTCAATGATTGTATTTTATTTTTAAATAGAAACTGACATATAAGCAAATTATAACAGGAACCAACAATTATTTAGAGAGGCATGTAGGGACGGCTATTTTGTTTTGTGAAATATAGCTGGGGTAAGAGTTACCAGTGAAAAAACCTGAAATAGCCATTCTATACTTTGAGTAAAGAATAGATACAGTTAGTTAAAATAGGCTGATATTAGTTTAGGAAGAAACAGAAAACAGAATTAAAGTTAAAAAGAGGATAAAAATAGGGAAGTCTAGGAAATGGGCCAAAAAAGAAAAGTAGTGAGTTATCTTCTGTCTTTTAATGCCTTCACACTGTATGTATAACTCATTTTCACCAGTGAGCTCCTGAACTGACAGAGAAACATCTTCGGTTATAGTAGCCAGACTGGAACTGGGTTTATTGCTTAGTCATTGGTAAATATTTACAGGGTGAAGCCTGGTTCAAGCCTGCTGACTTCAGTAAAAGCATTCTTGCTGTCTTCATTGAGTTTGGAATCAAATCTGAGGATGGGGAGAGAGGCACTAGGTGTTCAGTGGGACTGAGGTTTCAGCTGGGGCATCTCAATGAGGTTATTGTTGAGCAGCCATTACCTATAAATCTCACTTTCTGAGTCAAAATCTGCTCCAGCTTACGGAAAGTATGTCTGATGTAATTTCAGTAACTTCAGCACAAAGGCATTTCCAGGTGAAACTCGAGAGGCTCAGGGCCATGCTATTTGCAGCCTCATATAGGAGGCGTTACCAAGCAGTGACTGTGGCTGCTGTGGCCTCTGACAGCTTCTGTCGGGATATCTCTGCAGCTCATATTGTCAGAAAGGGCAGGTAAAGCCACCGATGGAAGATCCCTTCCCATACTGATATTTCTGTGTATTCTTTCTGGGCTCACGTATTTCCCAGGACAATGTTAGCCTGTCAACTACACACCAAAGCAAGGGCCAACAGAGCGCCAGTCTTCTGCCAGTCCACAGAGGAAGAAGAAAACTTGGGCTATGCCATTGCTTGCTGTTTTGCTAGTCTGCAGGTAGTTATGTTTAAAGAGCAGAACACTTCCAATTGCTGGGCTCTACCAGAGCCAATCTGATTGTATAGTAGATGTCTTTGCCATCTTCATCCATTTCCAGAGAGGGTCCATAAGGTGAAACTGACAACCAGTTGCTGCTCACCGCTTTACCATGGCAGTCATCAGCCTGCAGCTGCTGTAAGCAGCATTTGTGACAGACAAATAAACAATTGAGAATAGCAGCAGTGGTCTTTTTCCTTGTTCTATGGGAGAAAGGTCCTTACTTCTCACTCTGTAGTTCTCCTGGTTCAGGAGCTCTTGGAAGGATCACCTGTGTCGAATTCACGCTGGATGGGCTCAACTCAGGTTCAGTTCTCAGGCACACACTGGGAGGTGATTTTTATTCGGGCAGCACAGGGATGAGAACAGGAGACACTGAATCCATCTGTGTCTCGGGACCCTTCCATACCAACACGTTCAGCCTTGTAGTTAGTTCAGGTGTGTGTCTCCGCCCGAGGCACAGAAGGCTGTGTCAGTAGCGATGTCCCTTATCCCCAGCGCGGCCCTCAGCGCGGCGCTGCTCTCGGCGCACACACGCGTGACACACAGCGGCAGCGGCGGGATCGGGGATCGGCGGGATCGGGGATCGGCGGGGCTGCACTGCGGGCACGGCCCGGCCCCGCTGCCCTCGGGCCGCCGCCGCAGAGCCCCGCCAGGCCCGGCTGCAGCAGCGCCGCCCGCCCGCCCCGAGCCGGCCGCGGAGCCGCGGGGAGGGCAGCGGGCTCGGCCGGCGTTCCGCGCCTCTCTCGCGGGCCGAGGTAATTGTCAACGACAGAGACGCGTTTCACAACTCCTGCAATGCTGTAGTAATGCCCTAAATATTGACATGTAAAAGCTGCAGGATTATTGCGGTCGTTTCCTGGCCAAGCGCTATTGTTTCATGTTAACCAGTGAAACCGCTGTTGTAAAATCTCATCTGTAGCATTAATATACTACACATCACTGCCTACACCTACCTTTTAATCACGATGCCTGTTTTTGTTAGCTCCTAAGCCACAGTGCAGTCAGATATTTTAAAGTGGAATACATGTTTTATTACAATTATGATTAATTAGTTCATCCCTGTTCCACTGGTAGGATTTTTAAATATCACAGAAAAAAAAAAAATCAAACAAATAGCAAAAGCCCTCCAAACCTCTGCAGGATAATCTACACTTGCAAACAACCTGTTCCCCCCCAACATTTTTCTCAGCATGAACTAAGAACAGTCCTGAAAGAATGAAATAACATAAAATCAAAACTTGTAGAGAGCAGCAGTCTATGTTTGGGCCTGGCATTAGGGGAGTTGGCTGTGAGGCTCTTTGCACAGAAGGCATTCTCAAGGCAAAAATAAAGACTAGGTAAAAAAATTGTGGGAAGCAAAGCAATTATGAAAAACAAACAAACCTAGAAACGCTGTTGTAAAGAATCAGAGCCAACCTTAGCTTCAGGCATTTTGCTAATGATGGAGCAATATGGTTGTTGTGTTACTACTGCAGATTACAGGACCAGTGGTTGAAGGGAAAGGTGTCACCAATACATATTTGTCTCATGTCTTCAAACTGCCCAGCTAAGACAAGTAAAACATTCTGGCATGTGGTATTCACATACCCTCTGAACAGAGAGAGACTTAGCTATCTCAGGATTTCTCCTGAGAGAAGCAGAGAAGAGAGAATCAAAACAATTCTTACCTCATTTGCTGTGCCAGTGTTTATGTTCATGTGTTCTGGAGATTGTTTACCCAAGGTGATTGCTTGATTGGATTCTGGTGATGGTGTTTTGGATTAATTGATCAATTAGGTCACAGCTGTGTTGGGACTCAGGCAGAGAGTCACGAGTTATCCTAGTTTAGTGATAGTTCTTATTAGTGTAATGTAGTGTAATATAGTTATAGTATACTATAGTATAATAAAGTAATTAATTAGCCTTCTGAAGTCATTGGAGTTCTGTGCATCATTCTTCCTGCTGCTCAGACACCGTGTTTACTATACCAGCATGTGGGCCTGTTCTCATGGCTTTATTTTACGAACCTACTTTACCCCCCAGGAATCATTTCAGAGAGGTGCACTAGTGCCCAGAATAGAGCAGTGTACCAGGCCTATTTTACACAAAGTGTTTATTTACTGAGAAGTCTAAAGATCTCTTTGTTTTGTCTTCCTCTTGCTTATTACCAATGGCGGGTGCAACACTCTTAACTCGTGCAGACCCTGTGGGCACAGCTGAATGGTGAAGAATCCTCCTCCAGTCATACGTCAGGGTTGCATCTGCCCTTGCAACTGGGAAGAATTCATAAAAATAAGTTTTATTCTGGCTAATTTGTGCTGAAGCAGTTTAGGACACTGCAGTAGACTTTATTTTAGATGAAAATTGCACATCTGCAGAGATTTCTACATCATCTCAATAGTGCTCTGGTATCTCCATTTCAGCAGTACCCTCCATGCGAAATTGATTGTGTGAAGAGCAAAAATACATTATTGGATTGCCACCTGCAGCCCCATTTTTAATGAATCTGAAACTGGGGCTCAATACTCAAAGATATTAAGTAAGAGTATACTATGCATATATAGATATAATGTGTACCTTTATTTTGTTGGCCTTTTATTTTCTTAGTCTTCATAGGCTAATACTCACTAATTACAAAACTAATTACAAGTTTTGCCTCTCTGTTTCAAAGAGAAGTTGGACTCCTTGATCTTGTTTGCTGTTGTTCTTACAGTTTCTTGATTGTTTCCAGCTGAGCTCGGAGCATTGTTGGACACAGACATTCATACAGGGTTCTGCCTAAAGCAGTTGCTTGCTACAATATAGGACAGTCTATTCAAAACAACAGTCACTGTCAGACAACTGGAAGAAACCTCAAACCAACAACAAAACCCTGGGTAGGCATATTGGATCACAAAAATATAAAGAAGCCTAAAGCTGTGTCTCTTACCTAACTGCCCTGTTTCTCCCTATCCAGAGACTTGGATTCTCTTGACAGTGACCCAGCAGATGCACTCCCTGCTGACTGCAGGACTTTGCAAGGCCCCTTGCTGACCTGTTTACAAGCTGCATAGGAGGAGAGTTCTTACCCTCTGAAATGTTCATTTTCTGCTGTGAACTCTAGGAAGGGGAAGGATTTTTCTCTTATGAGGCCAGTTACCTCTAATTCTTTTCCCTTTTTCTGCCTGGAGCTAGTATTTTCCTCCTCCTCACAATCTTTTGAGATCTCAGTTGTACGGGAGCCCACATATTTTACTTCCTGCCAAGATTTTTTTTTTTCTTTTTCTTTTCTTTTTTTTTTTTTTTGGTGGGTATTGTGATCAGCGATTTAATGGATGCCATTCACAACATTCAAACAGGCTTACATATTCTCTTCTCTCTGCACAGAGGCAAGGAATTATTGCTAGGGTTCTTTCTCTCTAAAGCCATAGGAGAGCTCAGCTTCTCCATGGTAGAAACTAGTCAGTGTATTTGTTCTGTCTCTCGGGGTTCCTGAATAACGGTGAATACCAAACAAATTACAGATTCTGTTGCTACTTGCAGTTAACAGGCAGAAAGATCCTGAGGTACTTTGGAAGACAGAGCTGTACTCTGGCGTACTTTTTCATGTTATGGCTTGTGTTATTTTTAAGAATGTAAATATTTAAATATAGTATTGGCGTCAGTGAAGTGGATGTAGTGGATTTAGTGAATGCTGATCCAGAAGATGCAATTTGAACCAGAAGTGAAGGATTGAATTAATTTATCCTAATTTAGATATCCACAGCTGAGCAAACCTTGAATGTACCTGACTATACAGACTCTAGGGTGTCAAGCTCATATGTAAATGTCTGGGGTTTGGAATGTTTGATATTAGCTAAGATGAATGTTAGTCACAAAAGTCAGTCTTTCATATTCTTCTCACTTCTCTGCCATGCATCACAGTCTTCTTAACACTTTATCCTTTGGCTGTTCTGAGGTACAGGGAAACTGACAGCTCGTGAGAAAACAGCCTCTTGAATGGATCTGGCCTATGCTGGCTCTCAGCCCAGTGTGGAGTCCCAGAGAGAGTCAGAATTGCCACAACACTAAAGGAAGGGATAAACAAGTAGAATGTGGATAGTAAAATGGGAAAAAAAGAGGACAGCATGTCAGCAAGGATGAAATGGCGTGAGTGTTACAACCATGCCAGTAGTAGAAAAGAAAAAAAATCTGTGCTGAGGCTAGAGGTATGAAAATGTCCGGAGGATGATTGTGAGCCAAAGGAAGAAACTGGTCAATCCAGATTTGGGTTTTTTTTTGTTTGGTTAGGTTGCATGTAGACAGAGGTCTTTGCAACATTTTTGGAGAGAAATTAAATTGGTTCATATTATGACATAGAGCAAATTTTCCTGTCATTGAGGGAACATTGAAATGCTTCCCTTTTTGCAAGATCCCTGTCCTATTTTCATTGTATACAAATTTGCCAGAAGAGAAACCAGGACTGAGGTGTCAGGTGGGGTCTAAATGTTATAATAGAGAAGGTTTTGAGAAGTTCCAGTGAATCGAATAATCCTAGAGATGCATGGTCCAATCACACTCCTGAATTCCAGGCAGTTCTGTGAGGCCGTGAGCTGTACAAATGATACAGCTGTGATGTACAGGAATGGGTCTAAACCAGCTTGCAGCAGATTTTCTGTTTAAAAATGCTGAATATTTGCTGTCACTGTTCTCCCAGAATGCTAACTCTTCAGACATGAAACTAAGTGAAATTCAGCTTGGAGCTTCATTCTTTTATTAGAGACCTAAGACTAAAAGGAAGACTATGAAAAATGTTTCCACTCATGACTGTGATGAATTCCTCTGATTTACATATTAATAAAGAATGCCATGAATTAGCAAAACTCTTTTTTTCCTACTGCACTGTTGTAGCAGAACAGAGGATGTGAGTGTAGTAAGGAGTAAATGCTAATTTTTCCATGCTCAATTAGAGTTAAAAATTATTTTTCAAAAATGCCGAGCATCTAGAACTCCAGCTGATTTTAAACGTGAAAAATTGGGGATTAAAAGTAGTATCTCCAATCACAGCCAAGGACAAGTTAGTTTGGCTGGTTATGCTGATTGCCTGCCCGAGAAAGGCATAGCACAAATTATTTCCTGTGACGTTCATAGCTTATTAAAGATTTATCTATGTTTTGCAGTCCTAACTCAAATCACCATGTAAAAACGCTATAAATGGGAGCAGCAAATGTTTGAAATC